ACATGCCTACAGTATATATGCTTATATCTTACATGCTTATACATGCTTATATCCCACACGCCTATAGATGCTTATATCTTACATGCCTATACATGCTTATATCCCACACGCCTATAGATGCTTATATCCCACAAGCCTATATATGCTTATACTGTACCTTACACGCCTATACATGCTTATATCTTACATGCCTATAGATGCTTAAATCCCACACACTTATAGATGCTTATATCCCACACGCCTATAGATGCTTATATCCCACAAGCCTATATATGCTTATATCTTACACGCCTATACATGCTTAAATCCCTCACGCTTATAGATGCTTTTTTTTCTCTACATAGCTAAAGATGTTTATTCCCTACACAGCTAAATATGCTTATATTCTGCACAGCTTGTGGTTTATATAGCTAAAGAATGCAGCGGCTGTCCTTATACAATATAGATCAGGACAGAAACTTGACAGACAAGGAAACCAACTAGCCTCAATATTCTCAGAAGTACCCAAATGTCTGAACTATCTATGTCTTGTTTGAGCTTCACCCAATACCACAAAGGTTGTTTGTCATCCACTTTGAGCTGTGGAGTGATTGGCCCCAATCAGCTTCCATTATTATAGGAGAGAAGACATCCTTATTTTTATCCATGAAAACCTTGTTCCAGATTCTGCTTGTATTTCTATCAAGTGGACTAGAATAAGATGTTTTGTGTTGGAAACCCACATGCGAATGAAGCTGTGGTTAATGAAAATCTGTTCTCTGAGAAAAAATAGACCAAATGGCATGAGTTAATGACCTTTTAAAATCTGAAAGCTACAGCTGTTTGCTATAATGCCTCAGACATGTAATATTATTAAATTATTTGCAATTTTGCTAAAATACTTCAAATGAGAAAAATCATACATATGACATCAATATATTTGATTTTGTTGCAATGACTATATGTTAAACATAGTAAAGAACCTGAGAATAAAGGACACTGTTCACCATTTCAAATGGAGACAAACATCCCAGAGCAGATTTTAAAGATCACTGCAGGAATAAAGTACTGCAAACCCTGGAATCACTTAGTCTTGAGAACACAAGAACAACTCTTACTAACAGATACAAATGGTTTTTGTTGCTTTGTATAAATACGAGTCATCTTACCTTCATTGTGGCAGAGCATGAGAATCGCTGTGGAAGCGTAGCACGCTGATTGTAAAAGACACTTTGGGTCAGCTGCTGTTACACAGCCCCTGATTTGGCAAGGGTCTGAGACCTTGTGAGGCATTCTTCCCTCTAAGAATGTCTTGCCTTGCACAACAGGAAACTGGAAGATTTCTTTTCTTTTTTTTTGTCTAAGGTATTTGAACATTTTTTTCACTAGCTGAGCACCAGAAACTGCCTAAAGGTTATGCTTTTCCAAAGTATCCAAAGCAGTAACTTAATTCTCCAGTAAATGGAGAATTAAGACATATGAAAATGAAATGTTTTATCTGGTAAAAGCTGGGGCCAGATGTACACAAATACAAAAGGTGCCTGAGTCAGATTTAATAACTGGTGAAACTTTTACTAAAGTATCTGATGTCTAAAGTTAAAAGTCTAAGACATAGCAGTAAGGGCACTGTTTTTCATGTGAGGTTAATTTTTAAGCAGATTTAATAGTGGTAGTGCCACAGTTTGTCCGTAATGACTAACATTTCATGGGCATCTAGTTAGTTAATGACCCAAAGACAGAGTCAGATAAAACGTTTAGATGTTTTAGTTTAATAATATAGCTCAGAAACAAGCAGTGGTTTTTAAAACTTTTTTATAAAGTAATTAATCAAAGTTGTGCCGTTTTTTTTATTACATTTTACTAGTAAGCATTACAACATGCTGATCAGTCTACTAAAGTATGGTGACAATATTGCATAGTAGTAAGAGGCATCAGAGTCCGCATTTATAAATTGTACCTGACAGCCAAATAGTTGTCCTCATGATTTCTTACACTTCAGTAAATCATACTTAATGCACACTGACATAGACTAATCCACTGTTTCTACCTGAATATCACTATGCTCCCTCAATAACCAACTTTTGATTTCACATTTGTATGGAAAATGCAGCAGGGGTAATTTGTCACTTTATCCTATTATGAAATGATCTCTGTATCATCACGAACGACAGACCACGTATCATTCTGTGTTAATGCTCCATCCATCCATCTTCCATATGCTTATCCTGGTCAGTGTAACGCGGAAAGAGCTCCAAATGGTAAGAATAGAAATGTAGAGTTTATGGCCAAAAGCCAAAACGCAAATTAGATTCTCCAAGTCATTTTTTTCAGGAACACATGAATCAAGTGCACACAAAGTACTAAATAATGCATAGGTTGAATACCGTGAAAATAAGTAACACTTAAGGGAATTGTAAACCAGAACTAAGGCTCTGAATGCGACTTGAGCATGAGACCATTAAAGGAAAGACATGAGGGATGAATGATCTAAACAGATGAAACAGAGGAAAACACGATGTTCAAAATATAGGTGTAGTCCATGCAGTATTCTGGTTTGGGTCGGTGTTGATATCTGTTTAAGTACGAAAAGCTGGGGGATGAACTACTGGCTTTAACAGGCAAACATGGAATGTGGGATTTATCTTGTACTGAGGGGGTAATTGTAATCTGTAGGGTGTAGTTAGCAGTTCTAGGAGACCAGAAGGCAGCTGACAATTAGACTTAGATTGGGCACAACCAGGACAGGACATTTACAAATTGGTTACGTCGTGGTCTAATGAGAGCTTCCAGAAGATGTTTCCATTGCCAAGGACAGTGTACACCGGATGGTTGTGTAACAGAGCTGGGAGTGAATGTTGTGCAACATGGAGAGGCCTACAGGAATGTAGGTGTAGTGAGGAGCATATTTAGCTGGAATTTTATTGGAATTTCAGGGGTGTTTGACCACCAGTGACACCACTCCTCAAAAACCAGTTTAATGTGAATAGACCAAGATGTCATCAATTCAGATAATACAATTTTTCCAAGGTACTTACATGGAAGTTTTTGTTGTTTGATGTTGATAAAATACTGAAATACGGAAGGTGCATTGACAAAGCCATAAAGAAGCACCAGATATTCATAATGGCCACTGCTGGCATGAAAAATCTTCCATTCACCCCTATCCTCCTTATCAAAATGTAGGTAGTTTGTAGGTCTAACTCTGTGAAGTACTTGGCTCCCCTTACTCACTTGAGGGCTGCAGGAACCAGGGACATTGAGTAACAGGACTTTATTGTGGTGTAATTTAAGCCATGGTAGTTGATACATGGCCAGAGACCAATACCTTTCTCTTCCACAAAGATGGTCCAAATATAGTTCACAGTAAATGTAATAAATGTAGTTTTTCAGGGTTTGAGGTAGGGGTGTGCAAAGCAGCCGGTATTTGTATCTGTATTTGTATTTGTTGAGGGGGGAAAAGTATTTGTATTTGTATTCGTATTCGAGTAAAATTCAAAATAGGCGTAAAAATCCAGTTTTTTTGCGTTGCACTTCTAATTTACGCTATAGTGTAAGTATTCTTTAATTATATCCATTATAATAATTATGGATATGCAGTAGACAGAGTAACTTAAACGTACCATACAGTATAACTCCTACAAGT